ACTTGCTATGGGCATGGCAATGGCCAGCACCAGGCGCGTTCTTGTCGACGGTGCACGCCGGATCTGCTGCCTTCGCTTCCTTGAGGTATGGTGAAAGGTGGTGGCTCTCCCAGTTCACGCGCCCACCCTGAGACTCGAAGGCATGGAGGCAGCCGCGCAGCGAGCGCTCAAAGACCCCATCACTGCCCACGTACACCCAGCAGTCGACGTGAAACTCGAGCGTTTTATTGACGGTATGCGCCGCCTCGTACCCTGAGAGCACAGCTGATTCCTTTTCAGCGCGCACCCATGATTCAAACGGCGCCTTGCTTTCGGTGATATTCTGAGCAGCCAGATCGGGCCGGCGCCAAAAGAACAAGCTCACCAGCCAGTCACATGGTTCGCGAACCGAACTGATGACGTAATGCGACTGTGCGAGCTTGGAGCTTGCGCCGCGAGATGGACCCGTCTCAACATAGCATGCCTCAGACTCGCCGCAGCCAAAGCTCGCGTCGCGGGGGCAAAAGCGCTTGTTCATCTTGCTTGCGGCAGGAGCGTGCTGCCTACCATCTTGCCGCCAGCGGTCGCTGCAGCCGACAACAGCGTGGGGCAACGCTTGCCGCAGTGCTCCACTTCCGGTCTTCTCCTGCTCGTCGTACGCAAGCGAAGTTCGATTCGGCAACAGAGACAGCGTGAGCGTGCTTGCCCACGCGAGCAGCATCATGTGTGTGTGCTGCCTCTTCAGGGAGATGCACTTGACCCTTGAAAGCGAACGCCGAGAAAAAGAATTTACACCAAGCTCACACGCACAACACTGGGCTTGCCTCGATAGACTCGAGGGGCCAGGATACGCAGCAAGGAGGGCGGAGCTGCGCCGAAAGGCGAAAGAAGCCGAGAGAACAAGGGAACGGCAGGCGGCGGCGGCGCAGGACGAGGCAGAAGAGAATGACGCGACAGAGGAGGAAGTGACAAGGGAGAGAACGACGAGAGTGGGACGGCCGCGAGGTGGCATGAAGGTTGCAGCGAGAATCGGCGAGAGACTGCGAAAAGAGATAGGAAGAGGCAGACTCCCTAGGGTGGGCGACGGCTAGCGCATCACACTCCTCTCCTTAAAATCCCTGTGTGGTGGCGGCGTGCCGTCCTCCCATCCCTCCCTTGGGTTGTCTGTTTTCTTTCTTTCTTTTACTGGGCTTGCCGAAAGAAGCCGCGAGAACAAGGGACCGGCAGGCGGCGGCGT